ATGAAAAAAAAGACTTGCCTCTACTTTCTCCCTACCATGTAAACGTACACAAACATGTCTCTGGAAATGTGCACCCAAATGCACGTTATTCCTCCTGTTACACTTCATGGATGAAGTTCTACACTTGCAGAGGCTATTTGCAAACATTTCATTTTTTTTCCCACTGGTTGAAGTTATTTATCAGCCCCCTCCCTCCTTCCTTTTTAAAAAAATAAATAAAACTGTGTATATATATTCTTTGTAGATCGTTAGCGACCACGTAAATGACAGAGGCATTAGAAGCCCCACTTTGCTGAGCATTACCTCACGGTGGGCAGAAGGAGAAAATCCCTGATTATTTTTTTCTGTGAAAAACATTATCCTGAACAATTTCTCTTCAAGACACTAGGAAAGACTTTCAAATGCTCCACAATATGCTAAACGGAATTAACAGGTTTTATGTGGCTTTTGGGCCACAGCTCCGGGCTGATTAGGGAGCTTTGGTTTACAGCCATTGCAGGGTTGTGTTTGAAGGTTACCAGGTGTCCTCGTACTGGTGTTACCCAGTAGTGAAATCATAACTCTGACAGTTTGATACCCGCCTCACTATGCACCATGGGCTGCCACAGCTACTTGGAATATTATGACCAACCCAAAGCCAGCAATTATCTTTAGAGGAAGAAAATGTAATTACTATAAAAACAAGACGATGACATTTTTTAATAGCCCAAGAGCCTTTCCCTTCTTGTTAAATTCCAGTGAGAATATTTTCCTCTACAGACAAGATTTATTCAGTCTTTTGTCTTAAAAAAAAAAAAAAAGCTGCAGATTATGGCCTGGATGAACACTAGAATAACCAATGAAAATTTGACATATCCAAAATGACAGCAAGGAGAACACCATTTCCTTGGTGTTTAAACTGTAAGGAGAATTTACAGGCAAACCGAGAGACCTGCAAACTGAGCACACCGCGTACTGGTCTCTTGCAGCGCTCTTCCTGCTGGCACGGGCTGCTCACAGCAGAGATAAACCAGGTTATCTTGCTCCTTACAGTGGTGATGTGAAACTACGGAGCTTGTGGTTTTGTTTCTTAGGGTCTGCAGTTTGGTTAGCATATCAAGAACTCAGTGCATCTACCCCCCTCAGGCCCCTTGGGACAAAAATCCACATTACTGAAAATTGGGACTACTCGAATTTTAATGTTTTAGAACCTAGACTTGCCAGATCAATTAAACAAACAGCAATAAAAGAAATGACACATATTCAGATCAAAAGCTGAGAACTACCTCACACAATTTGCCATTTTGAACCTAAGATGTACAAAGCAGGTAAATCAATTCCACAAAATGACTCTGATGCCATTAGCAGAACATCTACTGTAAAGAATCATTTATTAAATATACCCTGGGGCTTTGGTCCTTGCTTTTAAGAAATAAGGGTCTAGCACAAAAACTAGCTAGAGAATTTACCTCTGCCCCCATGGAGGCGAAAGAGCAAGTGGTCACTAAATGGCAGAACAAGCACCATAAACCATTGCTTCAGATGGAGCAGAATTCACTCTCCTCCAATGTTGAAGTAATTTCAAGGGACTAAAGTACTTTTTAGATCAGCCAAATGGGTTCTCTGCTACTGTACTAAGGACACGGGCTCAAATCAGTAGCCAGTGCCAGGCCTCAATGCAAGATTCATCGTCCTTGCAGCTACGTCTTTGCAGGAGTCCGAAGTGCCTAAAATATTAACTGACCTGAAAACAGGTCCCATAGCTTCGAGGTTCGATACGTATACACATGATACTTCAAGAACTGGTTCCAGAACAGACAAGTTTAGCACGGCTCCTGCTGCCTTGGCTATAGAAAGAAGTTGGCTGATGGCTATATTGCTGCCTTTCACAAGAATGTCAAGCTCAAACTATACCTGCAGCAAAATTTTGGACTGACAGTCAGTCCTGTCACCAGGATTGTACTTGCTAGCACTGACTGAAATGCCTTTCCATTCTCATTTAGCATACTGAGCCTAACGATGTGTTGTCCAGTGCTGGATTTTAAGGTTCATTGCTATACTTCTCAGTAAATCAGAGGCATCATTTCCCAAGAATCCACAATTCCACTTCTCTGAATTACCTATTCTGAACTGCCAGCAAAGAAGTGATTCTGGAACTATCTAGGTATGTAAATTTATTTTCAACCAGGAACAGCAGATACAAGGGTCTGTCAGCTCTGGCCATCACAGGAATATCCTCTGATAGTCAAAGTAGTCAACGTACATAGAAACTTTTTACTGCTTTTGTCCAACAAACTGAGCATGGATAGGAAGAAGCAACACCAACATAAAACCTAAGCCTTGCTTGAACACCAAAAATTGCTCCATTAAAAATATACTTACCTTGCAACATCGCTTTAATATCACCAACCTCAGATTAGTAAGTAATTTCTGATATAAAAACATGAAAGTAGTAAACGCAGTATGTAATACATGCAGAGTTTGCATGTTCAATACAGGATTTATTTAGCAAAGTTTATGATATAACCGCACCAAAGTCACCCTAAAAAACTTAAGAGCCCAAGGTGGTGCTGCTGCAACTCGTACCTTTGCGCTCACAGGGTCGCCTCCTCTCTCTCTCCCCCGGATGCTCAACGCTCCCCCAGTTCGGCTGCCAGACAGAACTGCCTCCAATTAAATGTGAGACCTCGGCCCCGCTTGGCAGCGCTACCCTCCTACAAAGTAGCAATGAATGGAAGAAATGAGGGTCCACACAGCCTAAAGCAGCTGAGGGTACAGGTGGGCACAGTTTAAAATCTGAGTTTATTTCATCACAAACATAATTGTGTTTTGGTCAAAATGGAGAAATATTTTTAAAACCTATTATCACTTTGGATTTTTCTGTTATGAGAGATGCGAGCTTACTAAAGATCATTCTTTGGTGCGATACATTCATGAGCCCTCTTTACAACTCCTCTGTTGGCAGCGTTTTAATCTAAATCAGAGTATAAGAAATACCAAAGTCCTCAGTCTAGCTAAGCGCTGGCTTAGTTGCCACGGCTGATGAAAGGATCCTGTTCTCCTAGAGAAGGAGACATGCAGACATGACACATTTGGTGTTTCTGACAGCCTTCACAAGTCTAAGCATCTCATACCACTATACACAGACCTTGAGATAGTCTCATTGCACCGCTTTCCCAGTGTGTGCTACAGCCCCTTTGCTAGCTGCTTAGTACCCCCCCTCTTCGCTTCCTGGGAGTCAACAAAAATAACGTATCCCAAATTTCTGAGAAAGAGCAATTACTCGGAGGAAGTTTCAAGAGCAAACTTTGTTTAGCAATTGTGAAGAGCATTTCTGAAGGCACGATTACCCAAGGCTGACAGCTGGTACGACTCCACGTTTACTCACAATGGAGTAGCCCAGTTTGTAAGACAAAATGTTGCAATGCTTCAGGAGTTTCACAGAGCTTGATTACGTTTGTGCTATAATTAAATCGCATTCATCCTTGCTTACCACCACCAAACAGATGCAGAACTGTAGCCCAGCTGCTGAGCTGGCGCAGCAGCCACAACCGGGCAAATACCACCTTTACAAGTGACCTTAGGAACTATGCTGACTTAGAAAAAGTGACTTCTAAATGAACATTTAGAATATAGAAAATTTTGCACTAACAAACCCAAACAAGACAAAGTTGAAAAGTTTCAACAAACTCACACTAAATTAAGAGGCAAGCAAATTAACAGTGTACTTTTGCTTGTAGAACTACTTTGCTTGAGGGGAAATTCTGCTCCGCTGATGAACATCTGAAAGGCTTCAAACGATTAATTAAGCAATGCTATGGAAAACACGGTTGTTCCTTAATGCTCCCATAATGAATAATACTAATTATGAATATACACTGTACTCAGCGTGTGCTTTTGGAATTAATTTGGCAACTGTGACTTCAGTTGAAATATCACTGCTTGCATCAGAACTGTCTAGATTGTGGGTTTTGGAAGGTTTTATTAATTGAAGAAATCAATTTATTTACTGCTTAACCTCTGATGCTCTTTCACTGTTAAGATGGGAGCTTTTCAAGAAAACCTAAAGAAATTAAGAACTGCATCTATAGATGAGAATTTTGGTCTTGCTGGGTTTCCTGGTTTCTTTTTTTTGTTTTGGGTTTTATTTTTTTTGTTTTATGGTTTGTTCCCCTCCAGCCACCTCTAGAGTTCTGAGAGGACCAGCCAGAGTCAGAGAAGCAGCTGTGACCTTTCATTAAAGATGCACCGTTAGATACTCAAGGAATCCCTATTAATCGCAAACAAGAACACGAGAACAATTAGAGCACTTGGAGCAAGAGAAAACAATGACATTTCATGCCCAGTTGGGCTCCTACCAGACTTCTAGAGTGTGCCACAGGACGTGCGGTGTTTGCAATGCCCCCACTATACCTCTGAATTATTTTGATCTGTAAGTCAAAGTTAGGCCTACACAACAGAGACCTAACAGCCGTATCCCAAAGCCCAGCTACACTGCTTTAGATCTTGTTATCACAATTCAAGTGTACACCCAAAGCAACAAAGGCTCCCAGCCTCAAGATGAGGATCTGGGCTTGGACTGAAGAGCAGTGAGCCATTACCCTTCCACTGGCACTGTCCTGTGCTCAGGATTTGCCTAAGCTTACACTGCAGGCACGCTTGGCTTTGCTGTGTAGGTTTAACTAGTCCAATTGTAGTAACCACTGACATAAATTACAACTCCCTTAAGACATAATATTTTTTCATTTACATGGGTTTTGTCTTTAAAAAAACCAAATTGATAGTAGCTTGGCATCAATACTTTGTTCCTACAAATGGCAATAACCAACTGCTACAGAAATAAACCAGAAGTAAAGCCACCGATAACCCAGTTCTTATGCACATTCATGTCCCACATTTGCAAGAATCTTACTTTATGGAAACTGGAATTTAATACAATAAATACATTTCAAGTTCACCAACTCAAAATACTAAAGAAAGAAATGTTGACGCTGTACTTTTCCTTTTTTAAACAAATATTACAAAATTGAATTTTATTGAGTTTCACACAAGATGCACTTATAAAATTGATACAGAATGTCATTCAACAGAAAAAAAAAATGAAAGCAATTCCAAGCTTCCTTTAGCAAGTGCTAAATAATTCAAAAATAAGATACAGCAAATTGACAGACAATCTGAATTTCAATGTGTGAACATCTCCAATTAGTATAAAATACATCAAAAATTAAAGAATTTCAGATTTTTTCCCCAGCACAAGTCCTCTTCTTTTTACTCTCATCCCTGAACAGTAACCACAGATATTAGCTGTTACTCCAGCTGCTCTTGATGGGAGAGGAGAGGCTGAAAGATTGCAGCAAGAAGTTCCCACCGGAGCAGACCACGCTAACCTGCATGGCAAAGCCATCTCACTACCAAGTCTGCTCAGATACATAACTCAGTCCAACTGCCTCCATTTGCTATATTGCTGTAGTCCTGCAAGCTTCAGGGATTAGCATATACATTGAACTTTCACATATTCATAAACCAAATAAACTTTGGCTTTCCCACTCTGACAAATTATGAAATTAGCAAAGAGCAAATTTTGTCTTCATTTGTTCAGCACTTTAAGCACTTTTATGATACCTTCCCTTGGAAAGTGAAACTGGTGCTTACTTAAAATATCTGAAAGGTATTTGAAGTTACTGCTGTCTTAACAACAATATATGAAGAATTTATCATTAGCTAAAGGGTCTCTTCTGATACAAGTCTCCAGCCTAAGTTTTGAGCTCAAATGTATTCCATTCTCGGTCTGAAGATTCCAAACCATCTTTCATCAATTCTCCCACAACTGCATCTCACACAGGAAATTAAGATGCATTGCAATGCTTAAATGCTCTTTATACATCTAGGCCATCTTCTTAAGTGTGGATAAAACCAATCAATTAAAATGGATAATTCTGATTTGATTGTCAGTGTGAGCTTTCATAGTATAGGCATATTCTCAGGCAAGGTAATACACAGACATCTTTTCTTATCAGTTAAACCCAAAATGCAGTGTAATACTCTTTTCTGCTGCGTTAGTGCCATACATACAGTTCCAACACAACAGCTGCTTGCTGCAATTAACACTGCCTTTCCTCAACATATAGAGGTGCCCCTTTATTATTTTTTCCTACAGCAACAAAAAATCCTCAGCTTTTAAAAATAATTTTATAAATAATTTGCCTTGCAGGACACACAACTTAACACAAGAAATGATTATGCTTCATATTTGCCCAGTTAAGCAGAAACCTTCATTACTGTGATCTTTCCTTGGGTTTTAGTATTTAGATAAAATAGTAAGCAGTAAGTCTTTCATTTGAAGGCAAAATTTTATTCTCATTATAAGATTTTCAAGATACATCTTGAAAAGAGTTTTGTTTACAAGAATAACTATCTTGACTTACTGTTTTATGTACCAATGCTTTATGCGTTTGTTGATATAAGCACAAGGTTTCAATTCTGCTTGCAGATGTTTAATAAAACAGGTAACTGGAAAGGCAAACTTCCGGTCAAGTTGTCACACATTTCCAGGAATATCCTTACACTGGAGGAACTTTCACGAGAAGTAGTATCTTCTGGAAGCATGGTTTCGTAATGCAGAACAGGATTACGCTTTTTTTCCAGTCTACTTTCCAGAAAAGTGATACTGCAGCTCTGCCACCAGGCTAGAGACTCACGATCCACCACATTTTCCAAGAGGCAAGTTAAAGATCACTTACTTGACCTGACCAGATACCAAGCCAAGTTACTTGTAGAAAGAAATTAATATTTTTTGCCATTAATAATTTAAGTTTTTAAATAAATATTTATGTGCCTTTTTGGCAACTGTCCATTCTGGTAGCATCTGCTGTCCCAACAGCTCAGTATCCTTAGCACATTGATTTTTAAAAAAAAAAAACAAAACCAAAAAAACAAACTTAGTCAATTCTGTTTCCACAAATAGTAAACCTGTCTATCTCCAACAAATCTTTCTTTGAAGACCTGTGTTTTAATTCTGAACTGTCTTGGCTTATATCTTTTTCTTCTCCATCAGGAGTTGTCAAGAATTGATCAGAATTGCTTGTTACAAGTAAAGACGGTGTATTCTCCTTCTGATGCACAGGTTGATTGGTAACTGATGTAGATCCATTTTCATCCGTGGAAATTCCTGTTGGAACATAAGATAATTACAAAGATAATCATGAATTTAACACAGGCATACTGATGCACCTATGACATTCAGATTCATCCAAATCTGTCCTGAAATAGCATGCTGCATCCAATCAGCAGAAGCAATAGAAGAATGCTTTGTGGAAGCCACTACCTCTTTTTAGTTTTGCCATAAGAGATTTCCTTTTCTAGTTTGGTAAAAGGATAGACAATGAATTCTACAGAAGTTCAAACAAGGAGCAAGAGCGTAAGCAGCAGATGTTAGGACATACGCTGCATTCTTCTGGTTTACATAGTCATTTTTCTTGGCTCAGGAAAAAGATTTTTGACAGTCATTGTGTGAATTGCACAAATATTTTCTATGAAAATGAAGAAAGGAATCTCTGTAGAGGGAACTAGATGTGCCTAATCCTCTACATATGTACAATAAACCTGGCTTCTCTAGGGATAGCTAATAAATGACTCATGCACTGCTACATGCTTTAATAGCGCTGGCTGCTAAAGCAGTTCTGTTAAAGATGTCTATTTTTATTCCTGCCTCTTACTTTAGTGGAATTGAACACTGGCTCCATTAACCTAAGATATTTGTAAGTAATATCCATGCATTGTTTCCACATTTTGTTAAAACATTTAAAGAACTGAAATGCATAAGCAAATGACAAGGAAATCAATTTACTATCTCCTCAGTTATCGTTTCTAAAGGAATATGAAAAAAAATCTGACTAATGTGGAGAGCACTGGAGACCAGCCCAAGGGAACATTATCCGTCAGAATGGCAGCACTATCCAAATTCCTACAAAACCTCCTTTCTGTATAGCATCTATTTGCAATATACCATCTACTACTTGAAGGTACATGGATTACTCTCTACAGTCTTATGCCAGTCAAAGGTACTAAACTTGTATCGACAAAGGAAACAAGTAATGCTAATTATAGAACTTCGTTAGAAAGGTAAGAATTTTCTAAGCCAGCAGCTTCCAGAAAAAGCTGGTCAGCCTGTAAATGATTACCACTAATTAGAACTTCCATCCTTCAATAACAAATATAAAATTTTATCCTTCAAAATTTTAAACTGTTTCTGAGGATGAGGTGGACACTCTGAAGGCAACTGACTTACATACTGAACTGATAGAGGAGTAGACCAGATTAATTCCCTCACCCTATTAAGAGATGGGTTGAGAGACTGTATTGAAAAAAAGCTGGTAAGTGGGACACAGGGATTAATCGATATTGCAGAGCCCAGCAGTAATAATGCAGACATACAGAAGCTGGGTAAGGTAAAAATCATTCTTTCACAAAATTGAGGTTTCTAGTAAATAAAGAACTACTAAAAAAAACCCCCGAAAACTGTTAAAAATTGAGCTTTTTCATCACCAATGGAAGTTTAGACTATACTAAATAAAATCAGCAAAAGCTTTTTGATTGTTACTTTTGAATCAAAATCTTTCTATTTGAGGAAATAAGCATCTCTGCTGACTGACCTGGTAAAATTGCTGCTGCTTCAGCTAAAAATAGTCTTCAGGATTTATTTACTGTGAGTAAGTTTAAGGGTCAATTTAAGTAAGTATAGCTTATTAAGGCTCATATCCAAGTGTAGTACTAGAATCTTTTAATAAAACATTATTGTTATGATAGTCGTCTATAATGAAATGCAAAAGGCAGTCAAA